CAGTTCCCTTCAGAAGTGAGCCGGTGCCTTGTTTCGGTGCTCCAATCATTCAAAGTTGCAGTGTATGAGAAATAGCATAAATGCAAAATAAAAGTTGCGCCAAAATTTTGAACCGTGATCGTGCTGAAAAGTGAGCGTGATGCGGAGGGCGGAGCTTGCGGTACTGTCTAGTGGAGTCAGGGGTGGTAGGGATGTAGTTCCGCATGGAGCTAATCGCTTCGCAAAAGCCACAGAACGCCGAAAAAGCGGCCCATGGGGATACCGGTCATTAAAACGGGCGTTTTCTTGAGAAGCGCGAATGTCGAGTAACTCCCAGCTCAACCCATCAAACGGGAGAACTGGCCAACGCGACATTTGAGCTGCCGGTGTCGTGGAAAATGGGGCGTCGGCTAATAGTAGTTTATGCATGTCAACGACGTAGAAGTGGAACGCGATACTGGGAGGGAGACCAGAGTTGTCGGGCTGGCGTTTGCGCTCGCGTACATATGTGTGTTTACATGAGAATGAGGATGACGGTATTGTGACGAAGAAACTGCGGAAAATGTATCTCAATTACTCATGTTTCCAGAAAAAATAAGCTTTCAATTCAGAGGCTAAGAAATGTCACTGTCAATTGGCTTGAAATTGCGTCCATTTCAAGCGTGAACGCGTAAAAACAAAACAAACCCCCGACCACCCAGGGATGCCACATCGTGGTCTGGCAGGGTTTAACACGCTCGACTCTACAAAGAACCCCTCATTTATATTAGGTTAAGATGAAGTGGAGATCGTCAGAAAAACCCCCTTCCCCCGCCTCCTGATACTTAACCGCAACCCCCTCGATATCGAAGCCGACCCGAGCGGGGGGCGGGGGGCCAGGGCATCACTACGCTGCGCATGCAAACAAAAAAATCACAACGCAAAAGTCAACCCGACTCCACACAGCCAACGTAAAATACGACACCCTCTTTAACAAGCGTCATGAGGAGAAAAAATCATCTATCAAATAAATTTTTCTAGCCCAAATAGACAACCCCCCCCCGACCCACTATTGGGGATTCCGCCAAACAACGATTGTGCCTGGCGTTAACCCGCTGATTTTTTTTCTGAGCAAAAATTACGCGTTATCCCCGACCATCAAAACACCAACGACGCAAAAGCCCTACGGCCGAATGCTTCTTTTATATCTTACTAGTGGGTGTTGAATTCGACAACCTGGAAGAAAAACATGCCCCGAGACAGAGAACATATAAACACAAAAACAATAGATACTCTACAGGGGCTTAAATCATCTCGTTTTTTACTCTCTGTTACTGACTTTTTGTTCCACTGTATCCAGCCCACCGAAGACATGCACCTCACAATGAAGAGTTCCAGCACAGCACAGCAGATGAGCAGTAGCAAATGTATAGTACAGTTCATATCTCTCGGTCATTTAGAGTAGCAAGATAAGTCTTCTATGCTGACAAGTGGTAGAACATATCGACCTTTGTAGTCAGAGAATGATCAAGGAGAACATCGATAAGGTTGGGACTTTATATGACTTCGAGTCCGGCACATAACACACCACAAACCACACAAAACGCCAAAAAAGAAAGAAACTCAACCACCCACTTCCTGAAACGAGAGGGAAGAGAGGGGATAGGCATATGATACGACCTCCCTAAATTCCTCTTGATACGATCGAGTTGTCGAGCAGGCGGGAGCGTCTATAGCGAAAAGCAAGCGACAGGGGGAAATTTTTCCCAACGACGCAAATTTCTCTCAGAAGGCAAGTACGACCCATCTCTTCCAAAATCGAGCAAATACGCCCCCCCCACCTTATTAGGAATCCCCATTAAAGGCAGTTGGCACGATGGTTTCCTACTTAGCCTAAAATGCTAGTAGGGCGCTATATAGTGGGGAAATGGCGAAAGAACGGAGTGAAACGGTCAAAATCCTGCGAAGAAAAAGCCTCCGTTCTCAGTGACTTGGAAATCGATTTCGGACGAGTTTCCCTTTACCAATCACCGCTACCGAAGATACGGCTGCATATGTGTACCCATGTATGCATGCAGCATCACGGCCGCTTCATACCAATCCCTTCGCTTCATAATTTGCTTAGCAAATGAATGAATACGAGTCAGGAACGGTCGTCCATTTGTGGGCGGGCGGGCGTGGAGGGCGTTTGGGACGTAAAGTTGTGGCTTGATAGGGCCCTTATAAGGGCACCTTCCTCGAGGAAACTGCTATGCAGCGCCTGCACAGGGTCGCGGAATTCTATCCTGCCAGGAGTATTGATCCTAGTCGCCTTGGGGGATTTATCGTGCTAACTGCCTTTAATGTGCCTTGGTTGAGATATCATGGGATCGACGAAAATTTACTAGTCGCCTGAAATGGCAAGTCATATTCAAATTTTTGATGGTTCTTTCATTGCATTCTGTTACAACCATCTTTTCTCACTGATTGAAAGTGCCCCCTTCACGAATTGAGAACTCAGACACTATAGGTACGCTACACACACTACACCTTATGCTCTCGATGAACCTTTGTTAGAGAGCACATTTAATAAGATTTCACGAAGTTTTTATCTGTTTCCATCGAAAACGAACTGTATCTTCCATGTCAGGCGATCTCTGGAAACTTCCTAAGCCCAGATAGACCACCGAGCGTGATTCGCTTGCTACTCGATCTGTAGAATGCTATCAAGAACAACTGCGCTGTCCCACTTAATTTGAGGAATGAGACCCTGCAAACCGGTTTTGTCATAATTCGCTCGACTACTTCATAGTATCTCTAGGAAACATGGATATCCTTTCTTTCACAGCGTAACTTAGTCAGTCGCTTCGCTTGCTTGCTTCAGACAGTTTTCCAATTGATCTCGTTTCTTAGCTTGCGAAGAATATAGCTTTGAACTGGGCTAATGGGGCGGCTATGCGCTGAGCCGTCGAAAACTTCCGCTTTTTCTAGCATTTCATGTTGAAGCCTTTTATTTCGTTTCACTATGCACTGTTGTTCCTCAGCGCCGCTAGGAAGTACTTTTCCATTCCACAGGTTTTTTTCATGGTGTTGGGTTCTGTGTTTTGTACAACATTAAGATTCTTTGTAATTGATCTATCGCGTTGGCTCATAGGTAATGGCTTTTTATTACTCGAACGCGCTAAACATGAGGAGCATTGCCACTGAGCTTCATACTCTTCTGCAGAGAACCTCTTGCTCTGTGATTTTTTTCTTTGTGACAATGCTGTTTCTAGTAATTTTACCCTGAACTAGTACACTTTAGTACTTAAATCGGACTATCAGGTCGACGTAATTGAGGTCTTCGACAGCTCCCCTTCAGCATCTAATTGAAAACTTAAAACCGCAGAGACCGTTCGGTAAGCATATGGCTGAGAAACCGCGCCTCATAGAAATGCTTATGACGGCTTCAGCGTTTTAAGGTTTTGAACTTCGACCCAACAGACAAGCACCAAACTTGATGCCCTACTGAATGCAACTGAGAGTTCACTGAATCACATTATTCACAAGAATTCATGCTTGGGGGAATTGGTGGATGTCGTGAAAAGCTTCCACGTTCTCGTCGAGCATCAAATCCATTGGATAGGAAAGGTCTAGAGCTTCATGGCTGTGTTCTGCGGGCAGTCCATCCTCAAGAGGGTGCCCCATGGGAAGCACACTTACAGGGTCCGAATTCACATCCCCTGAGTCGCTTGGCCAGCTTCAGGCCGTCCTAGAAAGCACCGTTTCTTGTTGTATACATCACACGTTTTGAGTTTCTTCTGTAATTTGAGAGCTCATTTTAGGAGCAAAAGTTCTAATTAAAAACTAACGCTTGAGGCAACCCTTACACTCCATTTCAGTCAAATGAAAATCGCCAAAAACCCAGAAGAACAGAAAATTATCAATTGGATAGTATAGAGAACATTGGAGATTCTCACAGTTTCCCTACGAAAATTCGTGTGAGAAAGAAATGCCGTCACTTACGGGCCAACCCATTACTTATTACGATAACGCTTGATACTCGCGACGTGGAAGTGCTGACTCTGTTCAGGGAGGGGCATTTAAGTGAGCTCCTGTCGTATCGCGGAAAGATATGATATGCTGAAGGATGATATCAGTTTGATCTGGAATGGCCGCTTAGCGGCTGAATCATTGCAGTCACGTAATTTCCTGGTACGCCAAGAAAGTCCCTGGGCAAGCTAGAAAGCCCACAGTCGGCAAGAAACGCATCCAACTCCTCATCATACGTTGATGCTATCTAAGCGCCGTATTATACGTGGGCCGACGGTACATTAGTTATCGATGAGGCCATAGTTCCGAATTCATCGAAATGACTTAGGCAAACTGTATCACTGAAGCAATCTTAGTTACATGCAATATGCGACCCTGGGCTGAGTAGGATCGGCAGGGGGCAGGACAGGCCGTATCACAACTGGACGATTAGGACAGCACACCTCACTCGGATCATGCAAGCTTTTCCCTTCAATGTCTCATAACAGAAGCGCTTGACAACCAAAAAAGTCTCTTTGCAGCTCAAGCTTCCGATCAGACGCTCTGGAATACATCCTGGAGTGAATGAAGCTAATGCGGCGCTTTTCGCAGGTTCTGGTCAGAGCCAAACCTCAAACGTTTATTGCCGTATTCAACCATTACGTGCTATATGACCACTCAAGTGGCAATCGTATCATTTCGCAGGTCGCACCATTATCATTTCCTTCGTCTCTATCTTAACACAACCCCCACCCCTACCTTCCATCTGCGAAAGTTATCATAAGAGTGTTGACTGATGGACAAAAGTTTGACCTCGGCTAGGAGCCGATCCCGAACGTCACGTGAAACTCAAGCTCGACTCTTGGCCATAGCCAAGCCCTTCACCTCTAAGTTTGTTTTCTGGCTGAGGACAAGCCTTTTGCTCATAAATCGTCATTCTTGTTGTATCCTCTTCTGATTAACTGATTGGATCAAGACCACTTCCACTTTTTAGAATGTCTACTCGTTAGAACACAACTGATATTTTCTAATAAAGCGGACAAAGAAAGGAAATGTCGGCCTGCACACAAGCTGCTGTGAGGATCTCATTCATATTTCCTGTTTCATCGCTCACAATGTCCTTATTCTTCGTTTTAAGGCTTGGATCATAGTGATTTGCATTTTATTGGCGTCTTTTTACTTTTACAACAATCACCAGATCTTCTCCTATGTATTCACGTCTGACGAGCTCTATATTACACCAGCAGGTCAGTCTTTATTCGTTTCCTTCGATTCATAGGTCGGCAGGGAATCTGTTGTCTTCAGCAATCACTCCCATGATGGAGAACGAATGCAAGTGGCCAGTGCTGCAACCAATGGACGAGATTTCGAGCGTCAGTGCAGTTCCTCCCAGGTATTGTCAAGGCTAATGAGACCTCGACCAGCATCGAGCAAAGCAAAAGCGTGTGTATGAAAAATAGATGTGAAGAGAATAAGAAGAGTCAACTCGTTTGCTTGGCCCTCGGGGAAGACAGATCCCGCGACTGTGTATCCGTGAATAACGGCGCTTGGTAAACCCTAGTCGCTAAAGAATTCCCAGCGAAAGAAACAAGCAAAAAACCCATGGAAAACACCCTGAGTAGGGACCTGTCAGCTTTTCTGTGCGAATTTTCTGGATATGCTTGTTTTATTTCAGCAAAAGCGATGTCCCGCCCCACTGGCTAACTAATCGTTTCTTCGCGTCATTCAATGCTAACACTATCTAGAAGAGAAAAAATAACGAAAAAACGGGTGAAAACCGAACTCGGGACAGGAGTTGCCCTTGAGCTTCGGTGGGCGGGACAACTAGGGAGGCGTCAGAATTGCAACTTTCAACGGCCATAGCGCCCTCGTTACATTGTGAAGCCGCGAGAGCGGGATAACCTTGAAGGCTGTGGATAGACTTTTACAGGGAAGGACACCTACGATTACTTGAGCGCAGGGGACTGTCTTCAGGACGCTTGGCGTGGCATGTTTTCGTAGAAGTCGTCTAGAACCTTTCATTACAGAAACATTGAATGTGGCTCTGCCATGAAACCGTTTGTGACACTGGATGCGTTTGGATTCCTCGAGCTTTCTCCGCCAACCGTGGGAGGAAATCCATTCGTCGAAACGGACATATCGTACGTTCCTTATGCTCTTATTTCACGGTAAACGCTTCCACTTCCTCATTCTACGATCTTTCCCGTAGATCGCACACATCCGCCTCCTGTTTTATTCGATTCATATTTATTCCGATAACTTCCGTTTGCGCCCTAGAGTACTTTCATTTGCGTGCGCTACGCAATAAATTATCGTTCGCGTTCAAAGTTTGGTCGAACAGGGAAGTTTTTGTGGGACAGCCGGAGCCTCGTTTGGAGTTTTCGGTAGCAACAACACTGTGAAGCCAAGCATTAGAATGCTATTTTCAGCCACCTGAAAAGAGCAAAAGGGAAGCTATGGAACGACGAAATTATGACACGGCATAGTTCTGGCTATGCTGGTTTACGATCTGTGAGAGTTACCACTAGGAAACAAATGAATATGTTTATCATTTCTCCCGGAAAACACAACTCTTCGTGGAGTGGTTGTTGCTGATTATCGTTAGGAACTGAAAACAAAATTGATGTGAGCGATCTTCTTCTCATCGGACTAGGCAAGGAGTAAAGCTCCTGCTATCGAATAATGGGACTGGGTTAACGGGTGTTATTGCGACCTCTGCAAAAACCAGTTTGAGTCCAGGAGCCGTATGCTATACTCCCCTCGAGGGGAGGGGTCCCCTTCCCCGTATGCTACACTTCCCCCGAAGGCTTTGGGGGAGACGCCACGCCTACCAAATTAGGGGGAGAGCTCCCCCAACAACAAGTGTTGGGGAAGACATCCCCTGGAACAGTTTTTTAGTTTATTTCGCATTTGTTTTGAACTTTTCTTTATTTTTCATAATACAGAAACATTCCTAACCACTCTACCGATTTTTTTCATCTCATTACTTT